TTGATGCAAACTATATGTTTACGCAACTACTAAACTAATTAACACTATTAACAATACGTCTTTATATTGATACCGTTATCTGTTCTATTGTTTATTGAGTGCCGACACCGAGTTGTGAATGATTTTTGTGACATTTATTTCATGTGATGTGGACTTAACTTTTAGTCGTGATGCTGATGATGGGTTGGTATTCAAATGTATTCAAGGTTGGTTAAACTAAATTAGTATCAATTTTTCATATTTATTCCTCGCCGTATGAGTCAAAAATGAGCCAAATCAAACAACGAGATAAAATTATTGATAATTTTATTATTAGATGGATGGATACAAATGGGGATCCCCGAGCATACGTCCTCAGCAGGGGTCCGAGGGGTCCGATTACCCCCCCCTGACGAAGTGTTACCCCTTCAAAATTTTCAAAGAATTCTTTAAATTTGCTAGGGAATTTCGCCAAAAAAGTGAGGACCTTTTTTTTTTTTTTTTTTTTTGCTCCTCACTTTTGTTTTCAACGTAGGAAAAATTCTTTAAATTTGCTAGGGATTTTCGCCCAAAAAGTGAGGAGCAAAAAAAAAAAAAAAACGAAAAAGGTACACTTTTCGCAAAATACACTTCACTTTTTTGCTTACCCCTCTCGATTTTTTTCAATTACCCCCCCCTTAAATTTTTTCCTTGAGGACGTATGTCCCCGAGGGAGAAATACAATCTACTTATTGTTTTCGATGAAAATTATCGCAATTAACTATGCAAGTTTCCACATGACCAAATTCAAAATCATACATAATCCCTATTTCAACTTTTTTCCATTATTATTTTCCATTGAAAATTTTAAACAAATAAAAATTCATGGTAACGCAAGAGGATTTTATAAAATACAGCCAGAAATCTTTTGCTCACAAATACATCAAAAATATACTAAACGTTTCCCGGATACATGTTGTTCAAATTTCATTTTTATTACAATGCACGGGTGAAAACAACAACGTTCACCACGATGGGAACTAGTATCGTATATTCCCCATACAAATTAATTTTATCGATTCTACGAATACGAGATCTGTTAAAAAAGATACCGATTTTTGTTACTACTGTTGCTTTGACACAGCTCGAGCGAACTATACGGCTATGGCTGTATTACAGACGAACTAATACAAAAGAACACACAGACTCCGATCCTGTGTATGCGTATGTATTGTAAATTTTGCACAAGCAGCTACGATTGACGACTGAGTGCAGAATCTGTAATACATACGCATACACAGAATCGGAGTCAGTTAAAACAGCACTAGTAACAGAAATCGGCGAGTTTTTTAGTAGATGTCGTATTGGTGGAATCGATAAAGAAAAATCTACGATATTAGCGCTCATTGGTTCACCAAGTCAAACTTATATTTAAAAAATTCAATTAGTTTTTCAAAGTAAACATGATCTTCTACCCATCACAAATCATGTTGAAGGGAAATATTGGATTTTATAGCTGAACTAACCTGAAACAAAAACCAATCGAAAAAAATAAATTTCCATTAACACACACTTGAAAAGACAGCATTGAGAAAATAAAATACAATTTCGTCCTGGGTAAACCAATCGCATTTAATGTGGGAATCATTTCCATAATGCGATCCAAACAAAGGAACGAGTAATATTTATATAAATAATAATGTCAAATAAGTCGTTAATAGTGAACACAAAAACTGTTATTGATCATTAAGCGGACAACAAAAATTCTAATTTGGTTTATAACAAAAATTTGGTATTCAAGACGTTCGAATGTACAAATTATAGAGAAGCCAATTGGTGCGAAGGAAAATATGACGTCTCGAGTTGCCATGTTCGAATATTAAGCAAATAAATGTTTTATGGACGCGAAATATTATGTATTCAAGCATTCTTAATGAAAGTACTTTTATGAAAGAAGAAAGAAAGCAAAATATGTGTGTACAATAAACTAAACGATATACGCAGTTAATTTAGTTAGAACATTGACCTCCTGAATAGTACCATTTTGCATTGTCTGGAAAAAGCGTATATTTGAAAATCACGCGTTATATTTTATAGTGTTTTTACTTTTCCGCACACCTAGTGTAGGGAAGGTATTGTATTAGGCCAAAAAATTAAAGTCATCCCAAAACATGTTTTCTATGCATATTTAATGTAGAAAACACGATTGGAGATGATTTTGGGGCATATTAATGTGCGTCGCTGTGTGTGATGTGTCCTGTGTCCTGTGTCCTGTGTCCTGTGTCCTGTGTCCTGTGTCCTGTGTCCTGTGTCCTGTGTCCTGTGTCCTGTGTCCTGTGTCCTGTGTCCTGTGTCCTGTGTCCTGTGTCCTGTGTCCTGTGTCCTGTGTCCTGTGTCCTGTGGCGTGTTGCCAAAATTTGTTAACACGATAAATCCACTTCCAAAAACTCAATTCAAATTCTGACTTTGCAGGATGATTCGGGACTACTAGGAGACGTGCTGATTAGTTTTTGAGCAATATCTGTTGACCGGTGTAATTTTTTTTGGTCCGAATGGAGTACCCACAATCCCACATCCATACATTTTTGATCATTTCTCAACCATTTTGGTGACACGATGGTTTCGTGCTCAGACATGAAATTCAAAATGTGACTTCACGAGATGATTGGGCACTACGAGGAATAAATCTGGTCAAATTTTCAACGACATTGATTGATCGGTGTAAAACTTAGACTCTGAAGAGGCACTTATGAGAAAAATGCCTTAAAATGATATTCTTTCAATTTGAACGCTGAATGAATGTGTAGTGGGGGGAGAAACCCGAATCTGATGTTAGTTTTAAGATGCAATCAATTTTTCACACACTTTTCATACAAAAATCCACAAAAAGTTTCATTTTTGTATGAAAGACTTGCCTTTGTGGTACCGTTATGATGTGAAACTTTGAACAGGCTATTTTTTTGATTGAAATTTCTTTAAACTTGGTGTGATTATTTATTTTGATAAGAAAATAATATTCACAAGTTTTCACGGTAATTTAAGTTACTGCAACCATACAAAGACCATGATTTCAGTTTATTCCCAAAATTTCGGTTCCATGCGGAAAAGTCAGCTTGCGTACGTAAGCCTCTTTATTTTCCTCTAATTCATAATCTGAATATTGCAATCGTGTTGCTATTTAAATAGCATTAATTTCGGATTCAAATCTGGCGTTTTGACATTTTGCAATTTGTAGTAAACGCTTTCATTTCTATTTGGATACACCGATGGAATGTCGGTTCATTCAAGTTCAAATTGCAGAAAATAGCAGAAAATTCGCAATATCTTCTCATTAAGATAATATGAGCAACAACACAGTACTTATTGGACACATCGATTGACGCAGTAGGGAAGAATTTACAAATAACAATGTTGAAAAAGGGGATCAATGCATCTCCACTCGTTCAAAATGAAATAAACACATGAATTGATTTTTAATGCAAAAAATATAGCACATATGCATATTTTCTCATTTTTGAATATCGTACTTGAATAAATTTATGCAAACACAATACAAAATATCATGACAAATATTATCAAAATTCGTTGTCAAGGAAAACATTTATTTGCATCAATTTGAATGATGTTTTTTTTTTTTTTCACCAAATAAACAAGAACCGGCTTGCCAAAGTTTATATATATTTTGAAGGCAATTCATCAGAACGAAGTTAATCAGGCGCATTTCTTTATGGAAATTCAGAAAACAGCAAACATGAAATAATAGCAAAAGCAGAGAATATCAAACGAAATAGATCAACAACTGAATATTCACGGTTGAAGAAGTTTTTGCATAAATTTTTCACTATATTACTTGATGCGAAATTTCAAAAGAGAATTTCTCTCATTTTTATATGAAAATTCACGATTCATCCTTGCTTTGTGTTTTTCACGCTGCATACACATTATAATGATTATAATCCATGATTTAATTGAAAGCATATTATATGAAGAAAATTTTAAATGCAAATTTACCAACGAAATTGAATAGCTTTCTATTGTGAAACGGAATATGATAATCTGATTATGAAATGTTCGCTATGTTTAAACGAAGATTTTCTCATGTTGCTTGGACGAATCATGAGATTTTCATGATTTGGGAACCAACAAACAAAGGCCGATAATTTACTTGCATCATTTGATATGGAAAAGTGCTGATTTGAAATGTCTAAATTAGGAATAGACTTTAGTCACCAGTAAACCTCTCCAGTTTTCCACAAATGGCTAGCCATTTTCAGTGAATTTTGGACTAAAATGAGACTTTGCTCTGAAAAAGTATTGTAATTTTATAGCTATCAAACTGAGTTCATATGTAATGCTTTTTCGGTTAAAAATTAAACCCAAATCTAATGAGTCCTTAATTTTTAAAAAAAATGGATTTATCGATTTAATAATAGTTTATATTAAAAACAAAAAAGGCGGAATTTCCAACTGACTGTGTGTGCTTTGCATGCGAAAATATAACAAGTTAAGTGAGATGACATAAAATATCCTATGATTCAAAATCGTGTGAAAGAAGGACGTTCACTGAGCTGACTCTAAATTTATATTGAATTTCGCTATGTTCCACTTCAATAATCATAATGCCAAAAAATGATGATATTTTTGTTCTTTTATAGACTATATTAAATAGAGTGTGAAGTGTGAATAGCTGTACTTGAAATACAATGGGCGTGTGCAAGTGTGTGCCTGTGTGCGTTTCATGTACGATCTCACTACCAGTACAAAAGCGTATCAAGCATGAATGTTAGTGATATTTATTATTTATCACAAGTTTGTGATTAACCACTATCGCCACTTTTTAAAAATAGAACACACATTTGGTCCGAATTCTACGCAGTTAAATACACTTCCATTCCTTCATTTCAATTGCCGTGGTCTTTTTCAATCAAATTTAATTAGCTGAAAAGAAACTCAAGTAAAAAAGTCAGTTAGTGATAGAAAACGTCAAGATTTTTGTGTTTCATTTTGAATTTATTAAAAAAGTTTAATATTACATAATAGTATATGCTTTGAATAAATAAAGGAACAAATACATTTATTGCAGCTATTTAGCTAGTTTAAACGGAATTTTCATGTACGGCTGGTGTAAATTTGTAGAAGATAACACCTGAAAAAGATAAGGAAGAATCAATTTTAATATTTAGTTTATTCATGAAATGAAACAAGTGTGAAGGCTTTCTCACCCGAGGGATTGATTCGAACCGTAATATTGTGATTTACATTGTAAATGTTGTTGAGCTTATTTTCTTCATCAAATAAATCCTATTTGATTGGAGTTAAACGTTTATTTATTCAATGTTAAACAATGTTTAAAGATTTTGTGCGATAACTTACTGTAATTGTATATCCTTTATCACATGTTAATCCTAAATCGCTTAATTTAACTTTAATCGCATATGGTGAACCGTCGTCACGTTTACTGGCCCAAGCAACAGCGTATGAATACAATCCATTTGCAACTGGAGTTATCGGTCTGATCCATGTCTATTTCAAAACAATTCGTAAGAAGAAGAAAAATGCCACAAGAAAAGAAATAATGGAATCAGTGTTTTTTGTTTAGCATTTGTATTCACCTCAATTTCATGATCAATCTTGAGCCGAGTTCCTTGAATGCCCAATTCATCTTGATTTACTGCAATCACTTGTGGATTAATAAGAATTTCACGGAATTCTGGTCGAATGTTTTTCAAATCATTTGACATTAGAAGTGGTGCCGCCAAAATTGCCCAGATTGCCATCTGTGATTTACTTTGGTCGAATGACAAGCCATAGTTTCCGATGAGCAACTATCAATAAAAGCCAATGGATAAAATGTTGTTGGCATGAATCTTTAAATAGATCGACATGGACTTTTTTTTAATTAATATTTACCATATCGGGGTCATTCCAATGTCCAGGGCCGGCATGTGGTTGAATTCGTGATGCATTCATTGCGAAATATTCAGTTATTTCATTGAGTATTACATATGAATCTTGAATATCACCCCAGTTTCGCCATAAGTTACAATGTTTTTTTAATGCTTCATAGTTGGGCTGACAATACATACATAAGATTATGAAATAAACCTATGTTCTCAAAAATAACAAATTAATACGCGGTTCTACGTACCATAATACCATTATATTCTTGATAAACCGGCCAGCTGCATGAATATACCATGGGGCGACCTGTTGCATTCAATAACCGACCAAATTCTGGATATCCCTTGTCCATGTCATCTAATTCAGCGTAACATCCATCCAATTTCACATAATCAACATCCCATTTGGCGAATGTATTTGCATCCAATTCCATGTGATTGATGACGCCAGGATACACGCCCATACACGTGTGTGTGCCATAATCTTCATAAATTCCAAATTTTAAACCTTTGGAATGAACCTATTTAGAATTGCATATTTACGTTTATAATTACGCTAATACGCTTATCGCTAATAATAAGGTATTCGGCTCATAAGCAATAAAATAAGAAAGATTTTTTCAACCAATTATAAGTATGGTTTTAAAAATTGCGTAAAATGTGCTTACATAATCGGCCAATGCTTTCATTCCACTGGGAAAACGTTTTCGATCCGGTACAAGTTCTTGGGTAATTGGATCTCTTTCCATTTCCATCCAACAATCATCAATAATGATATATTCGTAGCCAGCCTCCTTGTAACCGTCCGATATAAAATGGTCAGTTACATTTTTGAATAGCCATTCACTAATTGAATCGTATACAATAGCGTTAAATGTACAATTTTTCGTTTGCTGTCACATGTGTCATCGACACATCTCCGTACATTGTAAAATTACCTGATGCATTCACTTGGATAGGTATCACAGTCGATAATACAACGGTAACGTTGCCAGCTCATCCATCCCATTGGCGGACGTTTCGCTAGACCATTGTCCAGTGTATTTACATTGCTGTATTGCAAGCAAATAATTGCTAAACCAATGAAAATCGTACTTTTCATTCCCGATTCTCGCCAACTTATTGTTGGAACAATGAACACACAATATTATCTAACAGAAGAAAAAATGAAATTGTTCTGTACTTTTGCAAGCCGGAGACCATTTTTTTTTTTATTGTGAACGATGTTAATAATAATGGTCAGTATTTCGATTCTTTTGAAAATATGAAAATATTCAATTTTATGAAGAAATTCAATAGAAACAACAAAACTGAGTCTACTGTCACATTGTTTGATATGTTTATTAATGCTTAGTTCGATCAATCTTTGTTTTGAAATCGGTGGATGTATATGAATCTAGTACATTCGAATGAACTGTTTATGAGTTATTTAAAGTATGAATTTCTAATGCTGCACTACTTACAAATGTGCGCAAGATTTATTAAGTAAACAAGTGCAAGCTTTGAAATGCCTTGGTAAACAATAAGAAATGAACACTCACAGGTTCGGTAAACTGCTTTTATAATGCTAGTTCTATAAATGAGAATATTTATCAAATTGGGTTAAGTGATATCTGCTTTAATCTAAGATTCTTTATATTGTCATACATTTTATTTATATCGTTACTTAAGAATTTAATTTTATTATACATGTTGTTTTTTTTGTTTATTGACGCTTATTGAAGTCAAGTACCGTGCGCGAAAAAGAAAGATTTTTCTTGTATGATTTTGATTTTATTAAAATCATAAGCAAATTAAAACAATGTAGAACATGTATGTAAAATATATCACTGTTTTTTAAATAAAATTTTAAATTTCTTCAAGAGGGCATGTAAAACAACGAGGAACTGTGGATATTACTGAAAAGTAGACCTAGTATGTTCCCCGTTCAGATCCAATAATCCAATAATTTATTAAAAAACGAAGTCAAGTGTTTTTTTTTTGCTCTTCAACTTTTTGTCTGACGTTGAACCTTTTCACATTACTTATAGAACGTGCCCATGTAGGATGTGCTTTACACTGTTTCAAACTGGTAGTTAAAACTTGTTCCTTAACTTCAAATATAAACAGTTTTTTTTTATCACGAGTTAGTTATAATTAATTTACTACTAATTTACATAACGATTCATTCACTTTTAAGTTTTCTCACTCTATAATTCGAAATTAAAACGTGGTAAATATTTTAAAACGAACAGTAGAGATTTCAAGATAGCACAATATACAATTTAGCCATCCGTACTCCCTCCCAATTATTCTGTTCTTGTTTTGAACAAATTTTTTCTAAGACATTGATACTTCAAGTTGGCTGTGACTCATTGGTTACCACCATTTTTCATAGTTGCCAACTTAGTCCCAAGTTTTGAATGTGACATGACCGGACGTTGGAATATATACAACTATTTTCTGTATATTGTGTCGTGTTCGGTATCTTCTACGTTTAAATGAAATTTGAATAGAATATTCGTTTGTGAAGTTACTGTCTAATTTAATAACACTCAATATTATATTTTAAGTATTCAATCAAAGGAAACCTTTGACTATTGCAATTTTCCATTCAATTTATCCAAAGTAGCTTTTAATTCATCTGAAAAATGATATGATATCAAGTTGAAAAGTTACAGCATTCAACGGATTCCATTTCAATCGGCTGATGAAAAAACCGAATAATAAAAATGTTTACTGTCCATTCTGTGGGATTGGTGATGGTGTTGTCTCCCCGATATTTATTTATTGTGCTTTTTGCGCCAGATCAAATTGTATTAAAATGATGAGATATGTACAAACGGCTCCAATCAACTGAAAAATTGATATCAGTGCGAACGTTGGATGAAATTCATGCAAAAATGCACCATACTTACCCCGTACATAAAGTTTAAATCTAAATCAAATAGTCCAAACGGTTTTATCTCAATTCCATTAAAAAGTAATTGAGTGGAAAAAGCCTTTATCTAAACCGAATATTAGTTTTAGAAGGGATAAAATGTAAGTGTACATGTTCAATTTACCTTCATTTTACAATGAATATTGTCCACCGTACATTTATGCAAATTGCAACCCAATTTTTTGTATTCATTTTTAGTCATTGATGAAGATAGGCATAAAATGAAAATTTCCAATAGTAATGCACAAATCCAACCCACAGAGCTCAGTAGTTGGTCCTTGTTTTCTGTGTTTAACCGAATACCTGAAATTATTCTGTATGGAACATTTGAAAATAATTAGTTGTAAGGGTCGTGCATATTCGTAGTACAAATTAGGCACATACTTGATGATTACCATGCAACAATAATACAGTAGTGACGTTAATGTTGTAAATTTCATCATAAGAATGACAAGTAAATGCGGGCTAAAAGCTGATTTCAGTATGACAACGGTATGTTCCAATTTCGAGTAAATTTGTTGAATGTGATTCATTTTATTCAAAAATTCAATTAACCGCATTGAATTATCTGCTTTCATAGAAAACGTTGGATTTTCATTGGCAACCGCAGTTTTATTATATCTACAACGGTAAAAAATAAACAAATTGTACAACAAACATTGTTCAGCGAACAATAAGTCCTTACCTCATGTAGTATATATTTGGAATTGTAAATCCTTTAGGATTTACTTCTTTGGAGCTTTTGTTCACAAGATATTCAAATGAGTTAAATTTAATTTGTGAAACTGTTGAAAAATTGCCATCGCTCGCATTTTTTGTAGAATTTATCATTTTGCCGAAGCGAATCAGTAGCTTATTCAATAGCTGTAATCGAAAACGGATTAATTGGAGGTAGGCGAAAAATAAATTCTCAATAACACCAATAACAAACATTGGCACTGCAACGAGAACGAGTAATGGAAAAAGAAATTGTAGCGACCAAAACCAATTTATCATTTTGAAATAGAAAAGATTAGAACCAACCTAGACACATAATTAAGCAAAATTCAGAAAACGGTACAGATGAAGAAATATACATTAAACAATTACGCCATTCGAAAAACGAGATTGACACGAAGCAAAAGCAGATTTGCAACAAAACATTTCTGAAAATAATAGAGATATGAACAATGGTTATAGTGAACTAAACTCATATACCTTCGCCAGCGGCGATTTTCGACGGGTGTATCCAGCTTTTCTTCGAAAATTCCATCAATAATTTCCATATTTCGGATGATGGCAACGATTTTTCGCTGATTCCAGGTTGATGTAAGGACCAAAAAACAAAATGCACAAAATCCAGAATATCGATTGTATGCATCAATTAATTGACCTAGAATATTTTTCGTTGATCCACCACTCAGATCACGATTCACCATCCACATATGGAACACAACATAGCCAATTGCCTGACATACCAAATATGTCCAATCCATTAGTTAAGCGCATTCATTACGTGACTCAGATAAACTGGCCAAAAATATCTATAAAATACCTGGCATATTGTGATTATGCTACCAAAAAATGATGGTTGCAAATTCTTCAAACTGAATGGACTTGTGCACAATATTTTGGATACAATATACAGTGGATACAATGCCTTTCTGACTTTCATTTTAATCTCACGTTTGACTATTTTTTACTATATCGGTGAAATGCTCTGCTAGTACTATCGCTATTGACGGAATGTTGGACCTTTTTCCTTTTTTTATTGAACCAAATCATCACCGTTGATGGTGTAAAATAGAAGATTTCACGTCAAAATACATACATTTGTTACAAAACATGTTGACACATATGTTGATTTATAGGTGATTTGCTCTTTTAAATGTCACTCCAACAACACACATTCCCTCGATAAATTTATTTGCCAAGCTTCATTAAACTAAACCATAAAAGCATTAAACATTGCAATTATCCGTGACAAAATTATACGGCTGTGTCGCTGAAACATAAACATGTGTAATGTTAATATTTACTCATATTTGACTTTGATTTATCGCCTTCACGAAAACTGTGTTACACAAGTATTCTTCTTTGGATGCATATGAAATCAAGAAAAACGTGGCAAAAATGGCATTCCATAAATAGAACTGACCTGAGTAAACTGTAGTACTTTCGAATACATATCACAGCTTTTAGCTGAGATTTTTTCTATCAAGTTTGGTCGTTATTTTCAATTTTGATGCGAATAGTCGCAATTTCCGTTGTCCTAGTCGGGTTACATTGGGATACGAAAGAGTATTTGAAAGGGAAGCAATGCTAACAAGTGGTACCATCTATACTCTCACACGAAAGAAATGTGTTTGATTTATCAAACACAAACATCCAAAGAATGTATGTTTGTTTATTCTTTGCGTGATTGTTTGTTAGATATATGGATTTTTCATAACTTAGCAGGAACTCAATTGCAGCCAAAGCCTGTGGCAATTTGAGTGGGATTATATTCGTGCAGGAGATGCTAGAGGAGATAATTTTTTTGTTCTGTTATCAAAATGCAAATATTTCTTTTTCATCAAACTCATTTATTTTATATTTGCTCACAATAATTCAATCTTTATAAATTCAAAAATAAGTGCTTGAAAATAAATAAACTAAATCAGTGCGCTGGCCAATTAAATCTTTTCAAAATGGTGCTTATCAACTCAACAAAAATTCTATTTTCCTTTTCTATTTAAATTTCCTCTTTGATGTCACTTTCTTGATTCGTATGAAGTAAAGTGGCACTAATATAAGAAAAAACCGCTTAATAGTATTAGCAGAGGAATTTGTTGATGGTTAACTGTGACGTTTTCGTCGTTGTGAATTTTCATTTCTAAGAGTTGATTTTGGATCGGTACATATTGGATAATTCTTCGCCGGGCTTTTGAATTTCCTGGAAAGCAAAACGAATTGAATTCAAAGAAATTATGAATAATTTAAAATTAAAATTTTACATCATATCCGTGCGGTCGTAAAAAGTCTTTGCAACGTCCCAACCATGTACGAATTCGTGTGTATGGTTCTAAGTCAATATCAATGGACTCAATTTGTGCGACTGTCACTGTCAATGCCAAATCGGCCAAAGAAAAATTGTTGATAGCGGCCCATGTTCGGCCTTTAAGCAATGCTTCAAAGACTTCTAATGCCTCGTGTAATCTTTGTTGTTTTCCTTCATCAAATTTACTGTCATGGAATATGACAGGAATCTGATAATCGAATAATCAAGAATGACAAAGTTAACGACAAAAAAATCAAAAAAATTCCAGTTAAAACCATAAATGTAAAAAGTTGCTTACAATCATGTCAGCTAAACGAGCATACAGTGTGCTCAGATCGAATTGAAGACGTTGATCGACTAAGGCTCGCATGCGAACATCTCGCGGATATAATGTGTCGTCTTTCGAGTAGGCAGCCGTTAAATAGGTGAGAATAACGCGACTGAATGTATTAAAATAAATCATTTTATTGATTTTTTGTTGAAAATTGAGGCGAAAGAAAAACCAACCTCTCCCAAAGAACAAGACCATGATCTTCGAGCGTCGGAAGTGTATGTTGAGGATTGATCTGTAAAAGTGTGGAATTAAAGTGCACAATGTAAGTGGATTTATGTTAACTAGATCACTACAAAAATGTGTTACACGTTTACCTCAATGAATTCGGGTTTTAAATGTTCGCCTTTCGTCAGATCAATTAGGTGTAAATCAAAGTCGATGTTTAACAATCGGCCAACCAATAAAACAGCACGACACGGTGGACTCGGTGGAATATAATGGAGAATGGGCATTGTTTTTTCACCTCTAAATAAACATAAAACAAATTCTTCAACAATTCTTCGAGTTCGAGTGACTTTTTTATTATCGACCATATGATGTAGAAGACGTCAACTCAAAATCAAAGTAACGAGAATATCTAACACGTAAATTGTGAAATAGTGTACGGCGTACGTTCGTGTTGATCGAACTCCAAGTCGAAACTGTCGAACTGGATGGAACTTAACGAAAATTCAAATTATGCGATTCAGACGGAAAGAAGTTTACTATCTGCGTTTATGTCTCTCGGGTACTTTTTTTTATGCTTAAAGGATTTGAAACGCTATAGCGTCTATATGAATTATGTATTGAGATACAATTTTCTATTTATACGTGGACATGCAACTGCGATAAATTATATCGATTTTCGGTATGGCATTTTTTTTATTCGTTCGTGTGATTTAACGGAGACCAGGTCATCAAACGGTCGAATTTTTTTTCGAACTGAAGAAAAAAATGAAACTTATTAAGAGACCACCCATGAACGACACACGAACATTTCAAGTACAATAACTGTATTTGTCCATTTTAGACGTCATTTCAATCAAGTGAATAGACATCATTTCTAAAAATACACTAAATACTCTGAGTGAATAAAAACTAGCACCAACTTTAGTGGCATATATGCCCTTTTCACAATTCAATTAAGCGATACATGGCATATTCTTCCAATATGTCAAATAATTTGAAATTAATTAGCTCATTATCACAAACGATTTATTGAAAATTCTACCCACTTGAAACAAAATTAAACATTAATTTCGTTTGCTAAACGTAAATTGAGCTAATTAAATGTGTAGAAAAAAAAAGTTGAAAACAATTCAATACAAAAATTATAATCGAATTAAAACTCACGCCATTTTATTTGTTTGATTATGTGGTTGAACAACAACCGATGAATTCATGCAATTTCCCAGCTTGTCAATGAAATTTGATGCGTGTGAATTCAAATTTATGGTTTTTTTTCTTTATTGTTATTGTTTTAATCGTGAAAGAAAATATTTCACCAAACAAATGGTTTGTTTGCTTTAAGGTGTTTTTATTTTGGTAGAGATATTCACGCGGAACACAATGTACAATGTGTACAATCGCTTAGAAAATGAAATGAAAACTAAACCGAAATAATAAACAGAAGTCTAGCTTATGGAATCTAAATGTCCAACGGTGATGGCAATCGATTGGAATGGAATAATGAAGTGTGGCTTTTTCTATATTACAATATGAATGGAAGACTTCAAATGATTGTAACGGTCAAAGCGACCGAAGTGAGTATTTACGTTGCTACTAACAACAATTCATAACAAACAATTCATAAAAATGATCATATCGCCAAATGCACACACTCATATTATCAGGTTGTAAATTGAACAAATGGCGGTTTTGCAGTTGACGCACAACGATTTCAAAGGATTTACTACGTCATTATTAATTTGACAGTCTCATCAGGCCAAGAATTTATTTCGACGTGATTTTATCGTTGATTTTTTGATCGTTTTGTTTTGCCACTTTTTCTTTTTCGCTCACTATCATTCATTGATTCTATTTTGTAATTATGGAAAATGCCGAATCAGTCTTGTTTGCTTGTATGTTCATTCTTTCTCTTCTTTTTCCCCCCTTTCACTCTCTTTTCCCTTCTCTTTCTCTCTATCTCTATTTTGCCTATTCTTTCTCTCTTTCCCTCTCTCTCTCTCTCTCTCTAATTTAACTAAAAACACGTTTCACGAATCGCATGCGGAAATGACAATAAATTGTTGTGGAAAATGTTGAATTCGTAATTGATATTGAATCAATTGGAATGAGAATAATGAAGATTCCATGTTTTATAAATAAATTCAAATTGCTAGCGGTACACGCAAGTACCATACATTGCAAAGAATTGGGTACACTTTGCATGCATTCATCTAATAGGTATAGACACCGAAATTTTGTTCCTTATTTGATAGGAAAGAAGTGTGTTTTGTCGTGTATTCAATTGGGTTTAATGTAGTCGATGACTTTGCGCGAAGTGAGTACAAAGGAAATTAGTCAAGGACTCGTTATTTTTCGGAGTTGTGTTTTATTTGTTCGAATTTTATTTTTCCTTTCATCGAGGAACTTTTAGTGTGCGGTGCTCAAATTTTGATTTTATCGCTATAATGTGGCGTTAATATTTATTAATCACGTGTCTGATAGTGATGATGAATACGATTTTTCAATGAATTGTCGTCGAGTAGGGTATTTGTAGAAACGTCCTGGTTAAAGGTTTTTTCTTACGATTACTTTATACAAAAAAGCGAATTTATTTCGTTTTCAATCTAGTTTCATCAAATATTTTTGATTCAACAAATATGCCAGCCATGTTTCAAATATATTTTCCCCCATAGGTTGATACACATCAGAAAATAGCATACCCTTTTTTTCAAGAAATTTCCTAACCAAATAAAATACAAAACAAACAACGGAGCATGTGAATAGAGAGCGAAGCAAGCACACGCAGAGAAAATAATTACTCTTTCCCCCAAATAAATAAAATTACATTAAAATATAAATAGACTGTATCTGCCACCAAGTGTCCCATCATTTACTCCACAAAATGTGACAACACCATTTACATTGAAGCAGGATTTAAATGATGCTTATTTTTGCCAGCCAATTATTCATGTCAAATTTGCTTTAATCACAACAGGCACAACATAAACTCGAAATTAAGTGAATAGGCATAACAATAAAATTATTCGTTTCATTGTTTTCACAGTTTCATTTCACTGTGCGTATGGAATTTCCTCATTGGCATTTTGATTGTCGTGAAAGAATGACATTATGGTGTTTATCGTTTTTGTTTTTTCGTTAAATGATTCTAGTAAATTGAATTAAAAAATCATTAATTAACATTGTTTCAAAGTTCCGACAACTTAAATCCTCGTTTTCCCTATCCTGTAATTCACAAATATACGGTCTCTGTAATATTAATTAGTATTTAGTTGAAAAGGATCTAAAATCAAATCTATGCTCGCTAATAATTCATAATAAGCCGAAGCCGTGAAACACACTGAAATGTAAGACTCCCACAAAATATTCGGGAGTTTTTACTGTAATTACTTTGGTACGACAAGAACGAGTTCATGGAAAATTCATGCTCATCAATGAATGCGGTATTCAATGCGTCATAGAGAAGATATTTTGCACATTCCCGAAAGAAGTATTTCACACCGAAAATTTGCTTCGTTTGTTGCTTGATAAAAAAAGAAAAAAGTTTTGTCATTATTCGTTAAGAAAATAAATTTTGAAGGATTTTTGTGAGTCATCGCCTCTTTCTCTCTCTAACTTGGTAAGTTAAACCTATCTATAAGTAATAGTAAGATTTCAGTCTCTTCTATTCTGGTTAAATTAGTGTGCTATTTCTTTCTTCATCGGTTGACATACATTTTGCTTGGAAATTACCATCCACATGTGCCACACATGTATTTTTCCAGGAATTTGCTCAAACCAATAAACAGCTTGTTGTTTTATGCATAAAAATGCAAAGATAAAACAAGCAACAAGTACATTTAAAACGAATACGAATAGAAGAGAAGGTTCAAAATAAGAGTAATTGCAAAAAAAAATGAAACAATGGATTTATCTGTTGTATTCTTAAGCGGCCTATGCAAATAGTCTTCAACTTTCTACCTGTCTTTACTCATATTTTGATGTTCGTTTTCTTCTTAATCTCTTATCTCGTTTAGTCCTCGCATTCACCAAGTTTTCGAAGAAAAGAAATGTGCAAATACACTCCGGTCAACTATGTCGGTGCACAAATTCAAATCATTTCAATGCAAACAGTTGAAGTGAACAGTTGAAGTGAACAGTCGAACTTGTCACTTTTTTTTACTTTGAAAAACTTGGATCTATTGACAAAAAAAAATGTTATTATTCAAATTATTATTTGGCAGTATTAATTTACTGGTAGTGATTAGTTTTGTCAGCGCCGCACAAATACCAGCAAGTGATAAAAAATTTGAACAAACCTACGTCATTGAGCCGAGCCCCCCCGAGGGTGAATTGGAATTAACTACGATGTATCCACCTCTTATTGAAGGCGAACCGAGTCCTGTAAGTTATTATTGTTTTTAGGTGCTAAATTATAAGGTTACTAATTAAGTACTTTCATTTCATATGAGAAACTTCAGCGTCCCAAATTGAAGTGTTAAATAATTCGTATGAAAAAAATTACTTTGAAAAGTGTTGAAAAAATATATTCGTCATATATTTGTCCATAAATTATTTCTACAAAGAAAAAATAGAATGTTTTCTTAGAATAAAGCCACCCCATTTTTATTTATTTAGCAAGTTATTTCGAACGTAGCACCAGACGGAAACATAAATGATACAACCAAACTGCCAGACGGATCTGTAAGCGACTACGCCAATGGTCAATTTTATCCTCCTCCGCCATCTTTGCCACCATACTATGGACCACAATATCCATCGCAATATCCATTAACATATCCTCCGTTATATTATTTGCCACAACCACAAAATTTAGCGCAATCAAATGTTCCATCGTATTCTCCATCATATACGTCGTATTTACAGCAACCGAATTCCGCACAAAATCAGCCGGCAGCATTTCCAATTGAATATCAAGGATTTATAGTCCCTGTGGACATGCCGTCAATACCGTCACAAGAACAAACACCACCGGCACCGACACTACAAACTAAAGAGAATAAAATTGCGCCCGGTCGTAGCGGTTATGATTTGGCACTCATTTTACAACTATTGCCGCCAAACGTTCTTCAAGCCGTTGTTGCATCGATCAATTTCGTTTTAAATTCGTTCAGTGTCATGGCATTTATGGCTGCAGCCGTGTCAGCAGTATGCTCCTTGACTCCCATTTGCACTCTTCTCATTCACTCATTACCAGTGAGTGTACAACGAAAATTCAACAACACAGACGGAACTGTGTTTCAACGTGTTCGACGTAGCATTGAATTTTACGAGGGAATGCAACAAAGCGTTAAAGCTTTTGAAAAATCATTTTTAACTAAAAAACGCTAAAATGTGCCGAAACATTAATCAACCAACGAAAAATGTTGAATTATTTTTTTAAATAAATAAATCTAAGAGAAAAAATTCAAATGAGTGTTTTTTTTAAGTATTTTTCCATTTATTATTTAGTGTGTGTATAAAAACGAACTCCAAATGAGGTAATGTTCCGATTCTTGTTCAAAGATGTCGCTGTGGTAAGTATAAGATTTGACAGCTAAAAAACGTCATGTGAGTCACAAACAAGCAAGCATTAGTCTTTGAGCATTTGTTTACAATTACAAACTAGCCGCTCGTGCACGCCCACGGTGCTTTGCCTCAATTTTAATTCCGAAGCGCTTTAAGATAAAGAAACAAACGAATATTCGCGCCTCATTCCTATAATGAGTGAGCGATCTTGGTTATAGTCTGTTGTAAGGAACGTAATTTAACAATTATCATTGAATATGAAAAGAAAGAAAAGCGTCGCCCAAAAAGAGGTATGATATTTTTGCATCATAATAAAATACATTGAAAATGAGTTGTAAATCATTCGCACACTTGAAGTGTTGATGGTTAAGGTAAACAATATGATGTCATCAACGGCATTCATTGAAAACGTACATTCTCCGTAGAATAATCGTAAAATATGCGATTGGAGAAAGAGGTATGAGTTGTCATGCGATAAAACTGAACGAGTGTAACGCATTCCGTCATTTCTGTGCTTCGTAATGAAGAGAGGAGAAAAAACGATACAAGAAGTTGGATTTAACCAGAATATTATGGCTCATAAAAATGTGAGTTTCATATAATTTACATGATGCTGTGAGTCAGTTAGGCTGTGCTAGTTTCACAAGAAATAGTATATAATTTAGTCATCATTCGAATGTTTTTTTCTGACTTTACATCTGTAAAGTTAACAATTCTGTTTGTTTTTTCTCATTAAATGTGCGATAATTTGTTCAGTGTCATTATTATAAAAAAAATGATGGTTTCCGTGTGCGCATTTGCCGCATTAGCTGTGTATGGTTGGAACATATGATTTCCAATACATACAAATGCAAAATTTGTTCACTTGGCGCTATTTATATCTTTCGTTTGAAACTAGTCAAATACAAAAATGAACCCCAGATATATTTTACATATGTGAAGCACACACACACACAAACACAATGCAGAGGCAACAGCGGCAGCAGTAGCATCATGAGATCATATGAGAGACCCTCAATAGAGTTCGTTAAACACTGGTAATTCTATTTAAATTAGAATATAAAAAACACGTTGAACACGACGATACGAATGCGATTTGCGGATATTCTTCGTATTCATTAATACAAGCGGCTCTATTTCACGCGTTAACGGCGTCCAATTCTAAACATAAAGCAAGTGGCTTTCGTTTGTGTTACTTTCTATCTGTGCGGCCTTATAAATAAAATACAACACCTTTAAGAATCACACGCGAATTTTTTGGTGCTTTATTTTTACCGAAACAGAACAAAAAATAGCAAAGCAGAAAAAATCGCTATAGTCAAAACGTGGCTATACGTCAAAATTGTGCGAATGTATGTTGGTTGCCTGCTTCTGTTACGGAATGAATCGTGTATAAAACACAGTGTTGGATAATGATTTTGTAGTTGTGTGCATATCTCATTCATTCAGAGTACACACAGAATATAGCGACATCGACGAAAAGAGAGAATCCACGAATTTGAGTTGCGCAGGACGTAACCTTACGCGTACACACGTTGCTTCGTTGTTATTACTATTATTTGGCTAATATTTCATCGTAGTATTTTTACCCATTTCGCTTGAAAAGTCAAAATTTCAGCCAGCAACTAATTGTTTAACACAAAAACTTCCATCGTTTCGTTGTTTTTTTGTTATTCGTATTCACGGCATTCTCTCATCTAGTGCACAGTAAAATTTAGAATTTCCATTTTCGAATGGATATTTGAGAATCGAATCAAACGCCAAAACTATACACGTACGGTCACAGTTTCATATCGATTCGGTTGCATTGAAAAAAGTGAATATTTGTTTTATTAAAGGAAAAATATTGCTGTGAAACCAATAGTGATAAAAACCAAAAAAAGAATGTTCGCCCGTAATATTTTGTAAGTCGTTGAATAAAATTAGTATTTTGTGTGTTTTGTTTGAAATGTCATTTTGCTTTCTCATCAAAATCGATTTTGTTGAATAAGTTCGTCTGAGTTGTACATTGATTTTTCGCCTTTGAATTGTGAGTGTATGCGTTACGTAATCAAACGTTGAAAATAGTGACATAAAACAGCTCCCGAAACCGATTAACGCGGAAGTATTTTAAGCTGTTAAATTAAATGAACCATCGATTTTTCGTTTTTCTTTGTACATTTTTCTGCTTATGTAATTGTCAAGATCATGACTAATTTCGATGTGTTTAGATAAAATAGTCCAATGTAATAGTTTAATGAAGTGCTATTTTTCATTGATCACATGAAACAAATTTATGATAAGATGACAATTTACGATGTAACTTAATTTTACTGCCATAAAAAACTATCATTTAAACAATACACTCAATGTAAAAGTTATCCTATTCAAAGAAGGCAATTGCCACATGCCAAATTTTTTAAACAAGAAATCAAAATAAAAACCATTTTTTTCTACGTAAATCGTCATCAACTGCATTGTTAGCTGGCGTAGCTGATATTTTCAAGATAAAACTAGCTATCAACTTTGACAGTCATTTACAACTTTGAATTTAAGAACGACCAACAATTGTAGGCAATAGGTCTAAAGTAATTCAATCACCGAAACGGTGAGAAACTGCCAACTGTCAATTTTGGCAAAATATTTACATGCGATTGACTTGTCAATTATTGATATGAGTGCATTTTGTTTTCAACGGAAAGACATATATTTTATCAAAGTAAACAAATAAAAAATGCAATTTAATTGGCACGAAACGTTGCTCTGTGTGTGTAGTGTGTCATAGCCTTGCATTGTAGTTTCAATGGTTTCGCTTTTATTTTGTTGCCGAAGCAATAACAAATATATGGATGAGAAGCATTGTTTACCGTAATTTTAATGCGAATTCAATGGCAATGCCATCTTTCAAGGCCGATATTTTGGCAGCTATGGAAAATCACTTTTCTTCATTTTTCTTTATTTTTCCTCCAATTATCGGCATTTTCAAAAAAAAACTCATTGCCATGATTTCAGCGTATTATTGTGATGACTGAATTTATTAATAGTTTAACTGCAAATCGAGAATTTTTTTTCTTCTCTTTCAAATACATATTTCATGAAATCGTCAAGACAAACGGAGCATATCGAACTCTCGCACTATTTCTCTCTCGTCAGTGTACAGGCGCATTCAGCGAGCGCATAGATAAAAATATTTGACCTTCATGAGACTAAAGTCGTGTGTTTATCCGTTTTTTGTTTTGCACACAATATAACAAGTGTCGTGAATGCAATAAAATGAAAATTCAACGAAGCCAATTGAATTGAAGGAGTCTGTATGAAAAAATATATAATGTATCACTAGTTGGATGTCATCTAGTTGTTTGCATATTAGGTTTGTTGACTTTAGTTTGTTGATATTATTTGATTATGCAAACGATAATATATATTGGGAAAATGACAACACAAGCGCATTGCAGTGATATGAACGCGCCTACGATGATACACCATTGAATTAACGATGATGATAAATTCATATTTATGATTGTATTTGCGTAGTATGACGATTAGATTATGCTGTTAACCTTCTGTTTATTTGCGACTTTATCGCACATAATTCCAATCTATTTTTCCGCCACTTAAACTTGTTGCAAAATCGATACAATTCTACTTTGACCTAATTAAATTCATGCTACAGTGTTCTTTGTCAAAATGCAATTTCATATTTTGATTCATGTTCCACCTTTTCCTTTCTTCCACCTGATTGCGTTCTTTTTTTCAAGCGTTAATTAAGTTTTTTTTTTTATTTTCCAATAGAAAATGTGGTTCTCCGAAAAAGCAGAATCTTTCGGCAATTGGAAGAGCTTTAGGAGCAGCTTCCAGCGATAAATCGCAGCTTGTGGTTCCATCGCGTTCCTATGCGTTTGAGGTGACCGGCGACATTATTTGCCCCGGCTTTGTTCAAGGTATCGATCATCTACGGGATCCACGTTTGAACAAGGTAATTTTGAAATCCATTTAATTCATTATAACGATACCGTATCATTGATACATGCAACTGTCCATGTGACCAATGTCATTTGATAAATAATTCAATTTAAATCGGATCAATTTCAAGGGATTGGGCTTTACATTGGAAGAGCGTCAAGTGCTCGGTATCCATGGATTGCAGCCGGCTCGATTTAAATGTCAAGAAGAACAAATCGAATTGTGTAAAATATCCATAAATCGATACCAAGAGGATCTTAACAAGTATTTGTACTTAATCGACTTACAAGTAAGTGATACTCAAAAATAATGCAACCGCCGATTGACCGAATGTATTATTTTTTTATTGAATTTCATCTCATTTTTAACCATGACCATTTGAATTAAACTCGATAGGATCGAAACGAGCGATTGTTTTTCCGTCTTGTGTCTGAAAATGTTGCCCAGATGATGCCAATCATCTATACACCGACTGTAGGCTTGGCTTGTCAGAAATTCGGTCTAATTTACCGTAGACCAAGAGGATTGTTTATAACGATAAATGACAAGGGACACGTTTACGATGTCATTCGCAATTGGCCAGAGCCCGATGTTCGTGCCATCGTCGTCACGGATGGTGAGCGTATTCTTGGTTTAGGAGATTTGGGTGCATGCGGTAAGTTTTCAGTCAGTCCGTAAAAATATTACATATTGACATGGTCGATTTTTCTTTTAGGTATGGGCATTCCTGTTGGAAAGCTTGCTCTTTACACAGCATTAGCCGGAATTAAACCACATCAATGTTTACCAATTTTAATCGATGTTGGAACGAATAACAAAGATCTTTTAGAAGATCCACTATACATTGGATTGCGCCAGAAACGTGTCACCGGTCCTGAGTATGATGAATTCATTGATGAATTTATGGCGGCAGTAGTAAAGAAATACGGTCAAAATACATTGATTCAATTTGAAGACTTTGGAAATCACAACGCATTCAGATTTTTGGATAAATACCGTGACAATTATTGTACATTTAACGATGATATTCAAGGTACAGCCGCTGTTGCTGTCGGTGGATTGTATGCATCGTCAAGATTGACGGGCAAAACATTTGCCGATTCGACAATTTTATTCGTTGGTGCCGGTGAAGCTGCCATTGGTATTGCCGATCTTTGCTGTAAAGCAATGGAAGCCGATGGAATATCAACAGAGGTAATTTCACTTCAGCCAAACCAAATCTATGTGATTGTAATGTGAGACGCCCATAATTGAAAGCAAAATTCATTCGCAGGAGGCACGTGGAAAAATTTGGATGTGTGATATCGATGGCTTATTGACAACAACACGTAAAGAAGGAAGTTTAGAGGGGCACAAAAAACATTATGCTAAAGACTGCCAACCAATGAAAGATTTAGCACAAGTCGTCGAAGAAGTCAAACCAACCGTAAGCAGTAATTTTCGGTGCTAAATCTATATTATAGCCTAATTTTCTCTCTTCGTCATTTTATACAGATATTGATTGGTGCTTCAGCCACACCAGGACTATTTACACCAGAAATTCTTAAAAAAATGGCCAAATTCAATGAACGACCAATTGTGTTTGCACTATCAAATCCAACGAGTCGAGCTGAATGTACTGCCGAACAGGCGTTCCAAAATACTGATGTAGGATTTTTAACACTTACCATCGAGAAACATAAATTAAATGTATTACATTTTCTTACCTAGGGTCGCATCATTTTCTGTTCGGGATCACCTTTCCCACCAGTAACAATTAATGGCAAAACCTATAAACCAGGTCAAGGCAATAATGCCTACATTTTCCCAGGTATAATCAGTAAATTTTTGATTGTGATTTGATTTAATTTTGATGCATCGTTTTTGGTCTCGAATAGGTGTCGCACTTGGTGTAATTGCCACATTAATGCATCATATTCCCGATGATGTGTTCTTGATTGCAGCACGTGAATTGGCCGCAAGTGTACGAGATGAAGATTTGGCCGTTGGTTCATTGTATCCACCATTGGATTCAATTCGTGAAGTTTCATTGAAAATCGCCATTGGCATTACGTAAGTGCTTCATTTCAATTTTTATTCACATCTTTAACAATATTAATTGAATTATCTTTTTTTTGGCATTTTACAGAAAATATGCATATTGCAAAGGTGAGCATCATTTATGTTTAAACGTATCAATTTGAGTCAATTTTCGTAGTATATCAAGTTGTATGCACCAATAACGTTAGCGAATACAATTGCACCTTGTAGTTTTATCTGGAATTTTCACTATTAAATGTATAGCAGTGAATGAATGTGCAGTGTAGTGTACAGAAAGTAGATTGTCAATGTGGTAATTCATGTGTCTGATTCATTCGCTATCACACGTTTCTGATGGTGAAAGTTCCAGAGTTATTTATAGTGCACTTAAATATATACATGCACACAAACACACACTCTCAAAATCATACAGAGAATGCACTTTATTAAATGGTTAACACACTATTAGTTACCATCTTAATACATTTACAAAAAAAAAAAATCGAAAACACGTAGTTCAAAATTTACGACTATGTTATAACAACGCGATGAATTGGCAACAATGATACACATACGAAAACAAAATGAATAGAATAGAACATTATCCATGATTTCGACAATGGTTTCGAATATCGAAGTGAAAGCAAAATGAATAAACGATTTCAATTCTTCTTTGTTACCATGCAGACAACATATTGTATACAGGTGAAGAGATGCGTAAATATTATGAAAGAAAGGGTATCGCTGCCAAAGGTAGGATTAGATGGCATCACGTATTTATATAATCTATATCTATATATTTCATGCTTCGTCGTTTGAATTGGTGACAGAAAAATGGCTCATCGAACATTTCATTTATTTGATGAAAACGATGATTTGTAAATAACAAAAATCCAATGAATATGATTGCAATATTGTTTTGTCTTGTTTTGTTTCCAATTGGTGAATGGTATTGGTATTAGAATTTGGATGTGAATCCTTAACATAATATTATAAAAATGTACACATTGTTTTGGCTTCAAAATTTAACCATGTTTGTTATTCGTTTTACAAATGAATTATTTTTGTATTGTGATGGTATGAGGGTGGATGTTGCCGCCAGGCAATACAAATAAATGTTTTCAAATGACCTTATCATTTAGACATTTGGACAGGCCTTTGTATAGCATATGACAGTGCTCGGTCTTTACACATTTGCCTTTTAATGGTAATGACAGTTGCTTTAATGTTGATTTTTATACAATGGCGTGCTCATTCAAATGTACAAATGGGCCCTTTCATGCGATGATGTGCAATCCAAATACACAAAGATGTAAGATGAGAACTTCTTATTTTGTTACTAAACTCAAAACTCTAAATTAATTATGAAAAGGATTCGATTTTGTTTGGTTTTTGCTTTTTTTTGGTGACCACATCATTTTAACATAACATTCAAGGATTGCATGTGCTACAAATAAGAAGAAGAAGAAAAAACGTCAATGAAAATCAATTTAAAGTTTTGATCCAATGTTGTACCAAAATTAAACTACTATCTTCTTGTTTGTTGTATAACTTGATTATCAAAAACAAATAGTTCATTAAAAGTATACTAATTGAATTTTTTTTTATCTATATCATAGGCCTAGCTTCAACCTATCCAGAGCCAGAGGATAAGAAAAAATGGCTTGAAGATCAATTGTACAACTTCAATTACGAGAGCTCAATGCCGGTAACATGGAAATGGCCACAACCAACGCCAATGAAAACGCGTGAGCTTAAGCCAGTCAAATTGACCGAACGTGAAGAAATTTAATCAAATTACAAAAAAAAAAATAAATAAAATCGCACTGTGCACTCTGCACCATATTAGAATATCTCGTTATGTACGATTTTTTATTGAGTTCAGTATTTCAGTTTCCAACATGAATAATATTCATTTAATCCATCTGCAATTCACATGCAGCAAATTTGTATGAAACAAAACAAAAACCCTCTCATAAATGTGTTTTTTTTTTTTAATTTAATTTGAGAGAAAAAAAGCAATATCCAATTCCTTCTTGTCATTTAATGCATTGCATTTAAAACGAAATATCTATATAAATTGGTCGAACAAATCGTACGAAGTAATTTTATTTTCATTTTTTATTGAAATCATTTTTCGAACTAAATTCGAATATTTCCTGGCAAATTATTTTTGTTTTTAAAACCATATAATTTGACTAGCTGTCGTGATTGTTCCATTGTAAACAAAAGCAAGATGTATGTCTATAATTGCATCCATTTGATATTATTCAAAATACATTGAAAGAAAAAGAAGAATGAGAAGGAAAGAAAGAAAGAAAGAAAGAAATAATGAAAGAAGAATTGTTCAAAATTGATCCAATTCAAGTAATAAAATTATATTGTTAATTAGAACGAACTAAATTGTTTCTTTTATTTCGTCGTTTGATGCGAGTTCCATGGACAGGCATTTTATTGGGATACTTTTGGTCAGCTGAAATATCTTATCAGCTGCTATTTTGTATGAGAGTAAAAAAGAGACACTACTACGCAATACATTTAAACTCTTTTCCTTTGCGCTCATATAAATAGAAACTGAGATTTATCAGCTAGTCGTGAATTAGATCGGGTGAAGCTACTCACCATGAATTACTTACCTATCCATGTGATGGCGAACCGATGCAGGTATATTTCATAATTAACAGTTGAATAAAATAATCTCGAAAAAAAAATAATGTTCCAATAATAACTGTTTATTTTTCTAATCAAGGACAATATATAACATAAATAATTGTTACCAACTAGTTTTTGCGCGCTTTGCAAAAACATTTTTTGTCATTTTTGTTTTCAGTAACAAAAAATAAAAATTGTCACTTATGATCTAAATGCAAATGTAACGAATTGTTTTCTAGCAACGTAGTCCAGTTTTTTTGGATTTTTGGATTTGTTTTGTGTGTATTCGTATTCGAATGAATTTTTATGTGTTTATTGGAAAATATAGATTCTTTAGCTGATTTCGGGAGATTACAGTTTGTATTGTATTCAATATTATGTTCATCATAGTTCAATTTGAACTGGTTGCATTTTGTTTTAAAACGGTGCTTGATTCGTTGTCTTTGCTTTATCAGCAAATGTTTGTTAAGTATACTGTGATTTTATGTGTATGTTTTTATTTTGAATTGGAATTGTAATTTATTTTGAATTGGTTTTCGGTCAATTTAAATAGAGGCCGTTATGACAGGCGTTTGCTGTTTCTATTTTAATGGTTTATTTATTGTTTCCGTTGGAAAATTGATTTCTACTCACAAAAGTCCGACTGAACCTGAATTCTGAACTGTGATGCGATTGTGTGCGTGCATTTGCATTGGAAGAAATGTTTGGCTTCATTTGTTCTACTACTATTGGTAAGGCATGTTAGGTAATGGATTTTCTGTATGCATTTTTACTTGTTGATTGTGTTTTATTGTGTCGCATATTTTGAATAATAATGGATATGATTGAATGAAAGAAATGAAATGACTTAAGCGCTCTAGTGTGAAAAATGTGGTTATGCTTGAAAATTGTTCAAAATCCAAATTATTTTTTATCGAAGCATATACGACGATTACAAATTGTAAATCTTAATCTAGTTGTGTCGGTTCAATTGTGAGAGTTATTCTAAATGATTATCATCTGTTCGTGTGTGTGTGTGTGTCTGTATTTTGCTAATAATTGAGACCATTGTCCAGTGTTCTTCACTCCTGATGATAAAACCAATATGGTTTCGGTATTATGTGTTCGTTTGTTAATATCTACTTTAAATTGGTAGAAATGCCGTAGAATACATATTTATACTCTATATTTATTTATTTGTTTGTCGATACTATTGAAAATCGGAAGAATTATCATATCATATATTGTTTCAAATGCTTAAATCATTTTAACAGCTCATTTCTTTTAATCAAAATATTATGTGTGTTCTGAGTGAATTTTTTTCCAACCTCTATCTATTTGTTACTTTGTTGCATTTATTTACTATTTAATAGAAAAAACTGTCTTGTCTACTGTGAGCATGTATGTTGAATGATTCTATGCTCGGTGAAGTTCTCATTTTTTATGTGATTTCAGTGATAATATACCAAATACATGTCTTCTGAATTAAAGCTTAGTTTCAAGGACACAACTATAGTTGTTTCAAGTACGAAAAGTTGAAAAGTTCTTTTTTAACCCTTCATTTATTTTCCAAACAAAACTGGATGATGACATCCGTTTCTTTTTCGCTACTTCTGTTCATTTTTTTTTTTTTTTTTGAAATCACTCAATACGATGTATTCATAATTCACTAACTTTATCGTTAAAATTGAAAGGTTCTCCTAAGACAAACTTATGCTATCTCTGTTATCGTTTGCTCCGCACTTCGTTCGAATTTCATATGTACAGCGGATGCCAATTCATTATTGTTCACGTCCATAGAACGTGAGAGTCTCACGGTGAGACATACTTGATAGTCAGTGGATACACATAATTCGATACATATTTTATTTGGGTCTTTGTGTCTTTCAACAAAGATGATATCAAATTTTTGAATGTATTGAATTTCAAAATAATTTTCAACATTTTTTTTTCTACTTTTTTTTCTTAACGAAGTGAATTTTCCTAAAATATATCTATTCAATTTAAAAAATAACAAATTCCAAGCCAATCTATGATTGAAAATATCAGGAATGTGAAAAATTTAATTTTGATTTTAATTTAAACGAAAGATGTACGTTCGATAAGCTCTGGATCTTTTCGAATTCGACGAAACTGAATAAAATTGTCACAATGGTCATAAGAATATTCTTTTGACTTCGAAAGAAATGAGTGTTTGTACTCGCACTCAATTGTTGTTGTTATTTTTTCTCAGAAAAAAAGAGGTGCAAGAGAGTATTTTAACAGTCTTATTAATTTCGACATTAGTCAACAACAATGTTGGTATACAAATTTTGTTCAAGCAATTTTCATAATAATTTTTAAGTCATCAATGACTGATATATATATTCAATGGCATAAATATTATGTATCGATAATAAGAAAACTAAGATGGACACTTAACAGTTTCTGGCAATGTATTTGATCGGTTTTTAATTTTACATTGATAAAAATCTATAAACTAAGGGGTTGATTTTTGGCTCTCTATCGGAATTATCAAATTTAATTACTTAAACACATCAACCTCTGAGCGTTTGTCGACACTCTGTAAATATGAAGAAATATGTCTACTATTCTTATGCATAAGTTCTTTTTCAATTGCAATTATTTTTGCCAAGTTTTTTTTTAATCTACAAAAAAGAATTGATTTTCGTATGTAATGGGATTCGTGTTTTTTCACATTTTTATCTACTTGATTTCATTCGATGATAATTAAAATTTTCAGGTGTTTTCGAATCAATAATTGATTTCGAAACGTGTGTGCTCTATCAGTTATTCATAATATGAATCTACAAATGGGATAGCTCAGAGTTCAAGCTTCAAAGATATCAGGCATCTGTTATGTATGTGTTTTCTGCACGTATGGAAAAGCAATTTAATGTAAATTTTTGCTGCAGAAAAAAAAAGCAAACAAGCAATATGTTGTTTGATTTCAATACGTATTTTCTTTTTCATCACAAATTTAATGAAAAATTGAAATGGAAAAAATTGGAAACAGGTTTGATCTGTCGATTTTCATTTTGATATCATTTATTCAGGTTTTTTTTTTTGTTTTTGTTATTCTTTTGCAAGGATGAGAGGATTTGTTAGTGAAACTCATTTTGTGATAAAGAATGATGTTCTGATAAAATCGGCACTTCTTTTCAAACACGTGTTATTGGACTGGTTGTGATGTAATTGACGTTGAATACGAACACGTTTTGTTTTGATGATATGGCAAAAGAAAGTATACTGTTGATGTTTATTTCAGAAAAAGTGCAAATGAAATGTTTTATCAGCAAATTATTTATCGTTAAATTGAAATGAATGCCATCATTCTAGTATTACTATTAGAAAAATGGTAAAGTGTTAATGTGCGTGAATTGTTCATACACATATATATTTCAACTCTTGCAATAAAATTGATGTTTATTTCGTGATTTTATCGTGCACATTTCAAACGACTTTTACAGTGCTTTTTTATGAGTTTCGCGCAAACATTCAGACAGAAAAATGACAGACAGAGAGGATACACTTTTTGAGTTGTTTGCTATCATTTGGTTATACTTAAAGTTATGCTTGGAATTCAACTCATTCCTCTCTTCCATTCCTCTTCTCTATAGCTCCTTGCATCTATGCGCCTTTCTTTGTCTGTCTTCCTCCCAACCTATTTCTCTACCTCTCTCTTCTACTAACGTTCGCTAAAATCGAACACATTGTAAACATAGTCCGACAGCAACTTTGAATGACATTTTCAAAATTTAATGATGCGTAATGTAGAAAAATCAATTTCATTTTTTTTTTTAGCTCATGTGTTGCGTCTTGAGTAGAACTTCTTTGAAGTTAGTCTAATTTGCTATAAGTGCTTTCTTTCACTGTTTATAATGTCATCAAAATGTGTATTAATTGTGCAAACGTTTTACCTTTTATTATTTCTTCGAATTTACCGAATTTGTCAACATTTTATTGACCTTTTTTTAAAAGTGAATTGAACTAATCGAATAAAGAATTTCACCATCGTCGTCGATGTGCTGTCTACGACACGTTTGATATTCGAATATAAAATATATTATCTGTAATAAATTTAATAATGAGGAATTGTAATTTTCCTACTATTTTCTATTTCACAGGGAAATGTTTACATTATTTATTGAATGTTCAACAGCGTTCGTTGAAAACCGTTCCAAAAATTATTATTATTACTTCGGCAATCATTGTTTTTTTTTAACAACTTGTGCATTGGTTTATAAGGCAATTTAAATACTCATATAGGCTTTTATATGTCTTGAATTTCTATTTTCTCTCATTTATTTTCCTCTCTCTCTCTTTTCTTCAATCTCAAAATCATAGCTTATTATATGTAAGAGATAAAACAAATGGGTCACTTACGTTGCGGGTCGATTTTTTTCGTCTACTTTTTCTTCTAGCAGTCAGGATGATATAGTATTAATTTTCATTATGCATGGAGAATGCCAAATGTGACATGGAGGCATTGAGTATTGGAGGAATGGAGGTAAACTTATTAATTACTTTGACATTTGTGAGGATTTTCGAGACGATTGGCGAAAATGTCTTCGTTCGGTGGAATTTTCTCCTTATGCATTTTATCACGATAGGTTTCAACTTCTTTAAAGACGCGCAGTAAATTGCCACCCGCCAGTTTGGTGAGCTCTTCAACAGTCCAACCAAATCCAATCAGTTCAGCAAATAAGTTTGGATATTTTGAAACGTCTTCAAGCCCAATCGGTGTGCTAATTGAATAAAAAAAATCAAATCCAATATAAATTATTGAAACCATTCTCTCAATCCCAATGTGTTGTGATTGTTGATCAAATGTCGATTAGTTATTTATCCGTCAAATGAAAAAAAGTATGGCAAAGCGCAACACATTTGAGTGAGTTGTTGGTGTTTTTTTGTTGCTGTTTTGCTCATTGGCGCTCTTACAGCGTTCAAAACTGCATTAATAATTCAATGCATACTTACTAGTTAATTCCATCGTATCCCGCACCTAAAAATATTTTTAAATTGTGATTTTTCAGTACTTTGAAAAAACTGCATTTTTACTATTTTTCAACTCACCAATACCGATATAATCTGCACCTGCTACTCGTTTAATGTGATTCAAATGAGCTACAAAACGTGCAAATGAAATTAACATTTTGAAGAGACAAAAGACAAATACATACTCAATTAATGGTTTCATCAGAGTTTATATTAAAATGAAACAGTAAAAAAGCGTGCGAAAGTGAGCGATAGTGATTTCAAACAACAGCAAAAAAAACTGGATGACATTTCCTTTTGAATATAATTTGCATTGACATCTTTACACCCCATGATGTTTTGTATACGTACCTATGGCATGATTAATGGTTGCATTTTGACCGCAACTCAAAAACATTGAATAAAAGTTTAGCATAATTATTCCTCGATTTTTAACGAGCGACTTAAGTACCGAATCTTGAACGTTTCGACTCGAATTGCACATTTCATAAGCAGACGAATGGGAAAATATCACAGGAGCTTGAGAAACAGCGATTGCATCTCGCATGGTAGCCATGGATACATGCGATAAATCAACTATCATACCGAGACGATTCATCTCTTTTATGACACGCTGCGGGTCGCAACAAACACGCCGGAGCACAAATAGAACAAGAAAAATATGGTAAAAAAATGAAAGAAAAAAAAACATTGGCGCATTTCAACTGTACAATTAACTGTCAGCAAGTAGCGAAGACAAGCACAGAGAAAAAACAAACCGAGTGAAATATAACACTTACTTTTCCAAAATCAGTGAGACCATTGTGTCGTACATCGAATTTCGGTGCATCAGCAAAGCTACTATCGGCCCACGGTGTGTGACAGGTTGATGTCAATGTCATATAGCGTACGCCAAGCATGTAAAACATTCGCAATACGGCCAGTGATCCGCTAATAGAATGTCCACCCTCTACTCCAATCAATGAACATATTTTATTGTCTTTGAATGCATTCTGGATATCTATGTATGTGCGAATGAAATCGAACCCGAAAAACGGAAACCATTAATTAAGCCATCAACCATTTAAACATGTGTTCGACATTCAATCTTTTGCATTTCGTACTCTAATGCTACATTGCTCTATTCGCAATATATAGATTGCATATCTAGTTTGACTACATGTTTTACATTGAAATAGATGAACACGATGTGTTCGATTAATAGGCGAAAGCCTCGACTAACAAACTAACAACTTGCAATTTAAATAAATTACCTTCCGCTGAAGTGCATATAATCAAGTCCTTCGAATATTTATCCGTGAGCCGTATTATTACGTCGATTTGTTCCAACGTTAGCTGAACGGCATCTTTATTAATTCAAATATTAATTCAATTATAATTGTATACCAAGTATATTTCGAATTGTACCTCACTGAATATAATTGTACCACGTTTTTTTTTTCGAATTGTACCCACATTTTTCGAAAAAAAATTTTTTTTTTCAAATATTGGAACTTTTGTATGGGAGCCATACTCATTTTTGATCCGATCATCTTGAAACTTTCAGGAAGTAAAGTACATTTTAGGTACAATTATTATCAATAATTTTTTTTTTCTTTTTTCAAAAATATCATTGAGTTTCAGTTTTACCATTCTGTCGGAAAATTAAAGTATCCTAAAATTTGAACTTCAAACGAGTATGGTACAATTCAAAAAAAAAAAAAAATAATGGTGGTAAAATTAAGTAAGTGAGGCTTATCCCATAAACTTCTTGAAAATCAACTAGAATAGTGTTGTTTAGCCTAGTCCAGCCTAGACAGATTGCGACATGACCACACATTTGAATATACACACCTTTATACTGCGCTTCGCAAGGTACGTAAGCCCCGTAGAACTAGATCATCCATATATATTAGACAAACAAACATTTGAGTTTAATTTTTAAATGTAATTTCTTAATTGCAAACGGGTAGAAAAACGAACGGAGAACGGAGTGTAAGAGAAATATAAAGAGACACGTACCTGTGCAGAAACTCGTCCTTCTTTCATTCGCTGTAAATCAGTGTGAGACCAATTTGATGATGACCATGGCGGTACATTTTTTAAATCGGCATCAAAATTAAATTCGGACAATTGATTGTGCACAAATTTTCGAATATTATAAGGCAAATCATTATGTGCGTCAATCAATGGAACATTTTCTAATAGAGTATACGCAGCCTGCAGTCTTTCTTCATACGAGGCGCCTGTTTAACAACAAACAAATACAAAAATAAAATAACTCTTTGAAAATATACTGAATGTGCGGTTTTTGCGAATGAAGTGATTTGAATGGCAGTTCGGTTGACCGAAAAATTCGTTTCAAATCATTTGTAATGACGTCGGTCACTTTACACAAGTTTGGAATTGATTTTGGACATTACCCTTTTTTTCACGTCATTCTCTTTCTATTTTAGCCCATATTACATGTTTGCATGTATACATGTAGCAGAGAAGCTCAATTTGAAACTCATTCCCGAACAATCGAAATGAAAAGATTTATTGACTGCCATTTTAAAGCGATTTCAAAACTATATGTGTACCATTTACCCCCATCCTCCCACCATCACAAATGCACACATTCACATCAGCATACCATTATACACACAAGGAACCACATATAAACTATTCGTATTCAATGCGAAAGTGTGTGTGTCTGCATTTGAAATGCGGAAAACAAAAGGAAATATTGCGAACAATTTTGATGATATGGAAAAGTTTTTGGAGAAAATGAAATAACGCGATAAATCATCTCATAAACGAAATAAATGGATTTCTAAGTTGAATACAATACGCTTGGCGTCAGACGCGAACATCTCCGAAATGGCATGCCGAAATTTATTCCAATAAATATCTATATACACATGACGCGTCGATGCAGTTAAATTTGGGGCATCATTTTATGGACACATTTCACCTTTGCTACTCGACGATTTTTCACAGGCACACATTAAATAATTTATACACTCACACACACAAATTTAATGTATAAATATACAATTTTATTGATGATATAATACTGACCAGATGAAACACGAAGTGCTAGAGGAACTGCAACAGATGCTGCGCCAAGTATTAGCAATATAGAAGCTATCGCCATCCAATGCTTAGAAATATCCCATTCTGCTTTATTGATTTTATTGTTATTTGGATGTTTGCGTGTTGAGAAATGTGCGAAGTGGTGAAGGGGCGAAATTGCGAGTCATGAGCACCGAAAAACGAAAGCCATTCCGAAAACCGAAAAGAAAAACAGAGAAGAAGGGAAAAAATAATATAAGTAAAGAGCGAAATAAATGAGTTTGTACAAAATATATCGTTTTGTTATTAGACTCTGTTTTTTTATTGTTATATATTATGGTGTGTACTAATTCCCATCGCCCACAAACAACTGCCACACACCAACATTCAGAAATGTTTATCGGTGTACCACCTCGAAAAGTTTTCGGTGTTAAATGCATGCGGAATTATTATTTTTATTATTATTGTTTTGTGTTGGTTGTGTGTATTATTTAACACTTACTTGAAATGTTGGAGCTGTTTGAGCTACTTGAAGAGCCAATACTTGGACACTGACTTCGATGCTTCCAAGGTAATTTATAGTTTTCGCTCGAGTGGTTCGGTAACAATACAGAATCAAATGTTGTACTATTATTGTCCATTTCACCGTCGATATTCTGAAAATGATAATATGATGAATTCAATTGTTCGCTATTGCTTCGTTTGCTTCGGGCTGCTTTATGCGAACGCAACGAATCGTATTTTAAATTCATAGCCGAGCTGCTGTTACAATGTCGACCAAATCGTGAGCTTCCGCCACCGTTGCAACCATTTTCATTTCCAGCCACAATCGATTGACTGGATGCACGAAGTGCTGTGACTAAATTGCATGTGCTGGCATGTACACTTTGGATGTCAGCCAATGTGCTGTTCGTCAGATTGCTCATTGATGGCCGTACGATTGGATTACGTTGTAATTCACTAACATCGATTGGTATTGGTTGATTTTTCAAAACCAGCTCACGATAAGTCTCTGCGTCAATTGAAAACGATTCGAATGGCATTCGTTTTTGATGGTCGAACGATGAGTCTTTCGGATCCAACGATGGAGCTGCATTACTGCGACAGATTCGTTTTAGCGTTGCATTCAAATTATTCAATGCAGGATACTGATGCATGTCTATGGATGTGATTTTATTTTTCTGATTATTCAAAATATCGGTCAATTTAAATCGGGTTGCATCACAGGCGACGACGCCACCACCGCCATTGCCACGATTCGTTTGCAATTTTGTGGTTGAAGATGCTTGCAGATGGTTGCCCACATTTGCAGATCGTGCCTTTGTACCCATATTTGAATCATTGTGCCGAAACGATGCAGATCTTCTATTCAACACTGATGGTGGTAATGGAATCGATTCAATCATATCTAAATCAGGGTCAGCCTGTTTGTGTTAGTACCGAAATACATAAATAAAAAAAAGGATGTCATATGTTTGTTTCAGTTCGTTTATTTAAATGAAGTTTAACTTTTGTTAGCTCGCCGACACTCATACACTAATTACGACGACACACAACAAGAGCGATACAACAAAAGCTTTAAATACAGTGAACAAAGCATTTTATTAACTTTTCGATAAAGTTGCAACGAACAAATTTAAACGAAAAATTGCGTTCGCATACATTAGTTGTCTAAAGTTATAAGTCGCGAATAATTACATCATAACCTGATAAGTGAAGAATGAACAAAAAATAAAATAAAATATGGGCAATAGCAGCAGTGCGCATACATTAAAAATGTTCAAACATGCACAAAAGTTAAACTAATTTTTGCTCCTTTTTTACAGCTAATTTGTTTACTGCGTTAATCAGCGATGTCGACCATTGCCGTTGTGCAAATATGCGATATTTGTTTCATCGAAAGAAGGACAGAGTGAGAGGAAGAGAGATAGAGAAATGAGGTGAGTGAAAAAAAACCTCACTTTGTTCATTCGTCGATGCGATATTTTTAGTAATTTTACGAAACTTAAACGCATTTTCTGCAATAAATTGGCAGCAGGCACTGTTTTTTTACGTTTTTTATGTGCTACTTTATTCGTTCGAGCGAAATGAACAGGCTCCTAATTTTATTTTATTTTGTTAACGAATGAACGAACCAAGTCACTTTATGAGGGGGAACAGAATACATATTCACTGAAATGAAAGCATCGTTTTTTGTGATAAAAGCATACATTTGCAGAAAGCACAAAGCAAATATTATTTATTCGGAGTATGGTTTTATGCAAAATTTGAATGAAAATACCGAAAGGTAACGGTAGAGGTAGAAGAGAAACTAGAAAATGGAAATGGCTTTCAGACTAGTGAATATTGACTGTAAAAGTGATGACCCCAAAAATCATTTCATAAAATAGATAGGATTCAGAATCGCATTTTTTTTCTCATAGAAACCAAAAAAACGTGCATCATTACTATATTTTATTTCATTTTTATGCACCAAATTAATTGTTTTACACTGTAATCAGGCTTTTGTTCAGTCAGTTCTTTATGTGCTAAAAATGTATACGAGAGGGATAGAGCGAGAGAGAGAGAGAGAGAGAGAGCATGGACGGGGTTTTTTGCCATCTTTATTAATTGAAAAATTAATTGAATAATGAATGAAATATTAATTAAAATGACGATGAGAAATCACCTCGCTGGTTCGTTTGTAAATGTTGGAAAAATATTGCAATATCTAACGATTCAATTGGCGCAAATTGTTTCTGAAATGCTGGAGCAATGGTTTGTGTGAGACTCGTGCATCAGTGAATTGAATGGTTGGCTGGTTTTGGATAAAATGGGAGCGTAGTTACATCTTCGAACAAAAATGGAAATTCGCGGTAATTGACAATCATTTGCAAGTTTGTATTATACGAAAAAAACACGCACATACCGAAGCCACCACCTCAACAATTTAATTTGTGGTAATTGAGTGGCAATTTTGTAAAATAAAATTGACTTATTACAAATTCATTTTACAACATTACCAAATTTTACTTATTATCCCAACCATCATTTCCATTACATGCTTTTTCCGGCATTTTATAATATATCCCTTACTTTTCTATCTATCGTGGAATGATCAATTGGTTTTTGTTCAGTCGACATTCTACGACCTTTTTATTGTTGTAATGTGGTGTGGGCGAGAAATTTGAAAACTTTTCTCAACAAGGAAATTGGTGTGTACCTAACATAATAAATAACAATAGACAATTGTTTTGCTTTTGAATGTGACCATTTAGAAAATAGACGCTTTATATATAACGGCAACGAATTGCTTATTATTTATATATTTTCTAGGAAATTTCCCAAATCAGATCATACGTATTGTGCCTGTGTGTGTGTGTTCGAGAGAAGTGTATTGATTTTATTTTAGTATATGTTGAATGCCGTTTTAAAAATATTCAATTTGCGCGCATCCACCATCGATTTACTACACATATTATTTGTGAAAATACACACACTCTTCCTCTCATATGAATGATGAACCTGATGAATTTTTCAAAGCATGTACGGATGCTTTGCTATTATTTCCGCATGAAAACTCGTGCAAATTACTCTCTATCGATTATGACCGCGTGCTCCAGCATAATAATTGGAATATGTCACGTCGTCAGGGGGTCTAATCAAAAAAGAGTTCGAGAATATCCATGCTCTCATCGGTTCATTGGAATTCATGTAACTATCTATCTTTCTATTCAAGTTATAGTCGAGAGAAATAACTGGATTCTATAAAATAACATTGTAGAATAAAAACTTTTTCCATTAACGTGTTGTTGCCTTTACTTTTTAGTGAACATGTTTTGTCTTTTTGACAAACGGGTATGGTTTTTACCATTTGGTCACAGCCATTTTAACATTTAATAGACGAAGTCAACGCTGTCATGTCTGGAGAAAAAGAGTAAAAAAAACTGTCATGATCCAAATGACAATGATTAATCTCCACTCATTAAGACGCAACATAACATACTACTTTTGTACACCAAACTTTTTTCCCCCATTTTTTACTCTCTCTCTCTCTCTCTCTCTCTCTCTATCTCTCTCTCTCTATCTCTATCTCTCTCTATCATGCGTCGTTGAACGAGTTCATGCCCTGATGCATGAGTTTACCTTTCGCTCAATTATAAAATGTGCTGAAAATTGTGTTTAAGTTTCAGATCAAAAAATTCAAACATCAACATAAAAAAACTATGCCAAATATTTATTATGCAGTGTGTGCATATTTTGCCCGAAGTATTACTTTTAGCCCACGTTCTGCAAACGAGCAAAAGTGAAAAGGTTATAGATTCACTACGAGTAGTGTGAATATAGATAAAAATAGAAGGATCAGGAGCCAAAAAAAATTCACACACAAATAAAACCTAATTGAAGATGAATGATACCAAGTGAAAGTTGTTTCTTAAATTAAAACAAATTCGTTTTACGTGCACTAAGTTTCAAAACAAAGGTTCAATTGAAATGAAGAACTATGACATGGGCAGCCTGTGTGCGTGTGTGTGCGTTTGGACTGTGAATGAGTATCGAATCGAAAGAGTTTACAAATAAGAGATTTATAGTGCCTGACCCCAAAATGTGTGTTCGTATATCATGCTAGAAAGTTTTGTTGATATTGTACACACTATTTTATACAAACACCCAAGACCACTACGATCGAAAAATAAGAAGAAGAGCGTCCAAGGAGAAAAAAATTAGCAACCGAGATAGGGCACATGAAATTGTTTGACGAGAAACATTCGCACAAGCCATAAATTATATCTAATGCGACTAATGATGTTGCCGATACCAATATGTGTGCGCAAATAAGTGATACAAATGGACGTATACGAGTATCGAGAGCAAAGGCGATAGAGCTTATGTACTGTTTGAATATAGAGCGTAACCACGCGAATACAAAGTTAACAACCACATCACATACAAAAACAAAACGCGGCGCACACACACACATCAACTAATTATGAATGAATGATGGAAATGAACCGAACATAACAGCATAACATAACAATCTCAGCATAGAACAACAGCAAGAACCCACCAACAACGCGAAAGCCAACTGGTACATGTGTAATTCCATCAATTAAAAGTGATGAGCTTTTTAATGTGGGAACACCGTGGCCGCGCACTCATTGCTATTCTATATGTATATACGTTTTCTATTCATGTGTTCTCTGTTCTGTGTGCATTTCACAACTCTAAGGATATGGAATTGTGATATAGTACAAAAAACACACACAAACAAATAATGTTTATATTGGTGCTCCGAAGTGAATTTTTAATAAACAATTCAAGCGGATGGAGCAGCATGAGCAAAAAATAATAATAGAAATGAATGGTGGATAAAAAACATACACGATGTAGGCGAAAAAAAAATGAAGTTGAAACGTTTTTGAAAAATAATAATCTTTGCTGGGAGCATTTGTTTGCCTGAAAGTATATTTGCCATTTGAAAGTTTTTATGCAGAGGTTAACTTGTGTACTTTTTCGTACCGATGTGCGTTTGAATGTAGTAGCACAACGACTTTTTACTGTAACTGTTACCTATCATAGTAACAATAATTACACAACAAGTACGAAAGTACACAACACACTCAAATACACACACAATGCGCCGCACATGTTTCATCGCTTTTGTACAATCTTTTAGCATTATATTTTTTTGGTGCTTGAATTGCTCTCTTTTTACGAGCGCTCTCTTTCTGTACCAACTGTTTCCAGCATAGAAAATGAATATGAATCAACGTTAAATCATCCCGCGATGCCCGCGGTATACTAGCTGCAACTACACACACACATACCAGCGGTGGGTTTAATGTGCAATCTCCTTCTCTTTTTGCATACTTATTTTTGTACGTGTGTTTGAGTGCATGTGAAGTAAAGTCTAGACTAACATTGGTTACAACTCAAGTGGTTCAACACCATCAGAACACCAACACCACACGCTTCCCCAAAATGGGAATGAACTTATATTCCAGCCCGACAAAAATGAGCAGATGCAACTTTAAAATACTTTCTTTTCATTTATATTGATGCAATGGTTGGTTGATGGTTATTTTTTTTGTGTGTGTGCGTGTATGTTGTAAACGAGCGGCAAACCAACGCAAAGAATAAAAAAACACAACATTGAATCTTTTCATGCATTTTTATTTTATCAGTATAACTTTTTCATCTCGAGTTTTGTATTCTCATTCAAAGTTTGTGTAATATTTTCAATGCTTATGAATAAATGACTTTTTGCGATAGAACATGAAACCATAGATTAGAGTTTCAGATTTCACACTTTGAAAAAAGTGCAACGCTGAATACACGAAACAAAAACAACAACAACAAAAAAAATTATTACTCTATGCTCGATAAAAAAAATGGCAAATCGCGTACAACTATACACAATTGCACATTCAATTCTTGTGTTTGTACTGCTTTGAATGTGTTTTGTGTATGCTCAAATCCACTTTATGAATTCCATTTGTGCGAAGATTAATATTGAATGGGAGCTAACTAAACACCATTTTGAACAAAAAAAAATTTTTATGAAAGAATGATAATAAAAAAGCGATGCAGTAATAAAGCACACACATACACACAGATATATTCATGGGGCCATTGAATGCAGAAAATACAAAATACACCACCAAAACGAGCAACAGAACGAGAAAATGTGAAGAGACGAGGTGAATTGTATTCGGCAACATTAAATGGCAAGATGTTTAATTATTTCAACTTTTTTCCCTCAATTCGTTCAGTTTTCATTTTATCATCACAACAACTCTAAAAAGCGAATAGTTTTTAGTAGTTTTCTGGTTATAGCATCCGGTTTTCCGGAAAATTTCAACATATATCATACACAAAAATATTACAAAATAGAAATGCTGTTGATCAATGTACATTTTAAAATCCCAAAAACTACACTCAATTTGATGCAAAAACATATCGTATGAATTAATAATTTTTTTAAAAATATGTTTGAAGTTGATCCGACCGAGTGTTTATCATTAGAATTTTGTTACTTTTTTGCCAAAATTCCACATAACATTTTGACAGTATGCATTTAAATGCATACAGAATGGAAAAAATAACGTATTTTTCCGAATGTTTTGCCATACTTTTTTTTTTTGGATGCACAAAACACCTAAGCCTGAATGGTTGCCAACGATTTTACGATATGATACACAGAGAAACATCTATTTGAAATCGATGACACATGTATAATGAAATTATGAGAAGAAACACAAATCAACATATTTTATGTATAAGCTCCCCACACAAATAAGCGAATGAGTGATGCTACGCTGAGCATCGGAGCGTAGCATTACTAATGCATTTATTTATGTGCAAGAAACAACAATAAACAAAAACTTGTACATACACCCAACACGTATTTGGCAAAAATTAATACAATAAATTGAACACAAACAAATTTTTATCCACTTCATGCGGTTTTTGTGTGTAGGACAAGAATTTTTCGGAATTCTTTAACATAAAAAAAAGTGAAAGCGATACAGTTGGCAAAATAGAGTTTATTTTTGGTTGCATGATTTGGTGCATTGTTTGAATGATTGGATTTATTCCAGTTTTTTTGCTCACAAAAATTGTTATACTTACCCTTGCTTTAGTCTTTTTTTGTCGTTTTTGTGATTTTCGTACGGTTGAATATTTGTAAGTGTCGACGGTGCGAAAAGGGTTGAAAGGATTCGTTTGAATGCGATAATTAGACTAGTTGTGTTAAACATTGGTTTGTTTGTGTGTATGTGTTCATTCAAGCATTTTAAAGGGAACGGTTGAACCACGCAACATGGGCATTGGTATTTAGATTTGCAAGCGGAAAAAGCGTGAAATTGAATTGTGTGCATCACGTAAAATCGGAAATAAAAATATGGTAAGTATTCGTGATATGATCATTTAAAGGGAAATAAACGGTAAAAAAATACAAACAAAAAACACAAAAAGGTGTATCGATACAAAAGCATTGTCCAAATATATTCGAATGGTATGTGCTTTTCATTTTGTATTTTTTTCGCTTGATAATATTTAACTGCAGTGAAAAAGCGATTGTGATTAAATGAATTTTAGATGCAATTTTAATGGTTTTCCATGTTTAGAATTTCAAATGTGGAAAGCAAAAATCTAGAACAAATGATGATAACAAAATTTTAGCTTTTATAAAATTGACACACTTACCGTTTCATTTAAATAATTATTTCGATGCAATTCATGTTTGTCACCGCGGTCCCGTTCAAATTTATCAAGCAACGATGTTGAGTAGTCGGTTGTTGGTCGTGCGGTTCGTTTTGGCATCGATGTTGCTGTTGGAGCAGCTGCAGTAGCAGCGGTTGAATGGGATTTTATGTTTCTTTTCTCGATACTGCAACGTGGATTGCACTGATAAATTGAATTTCGTAATTGTAGATCCATCTATTTTTGAATTAAAAATTGAAACGAAACTTGACATAACGGATACGTTGCATTGTTGATATCAATTTTGAGTGATTTGTTGAACTTTAATTTTGTTACTTTCCACAAGTTTGAATTATTTATTTACCCGATTTTCAACCTCCATATCGACAATACTATGTCATTTATGTTATACTATTATGTAATATAATTCGGTTCGATAGAAATTTTTTTGAATAAATTACCTTGATTTCGGCATCACAACAACATGTTGAACTATTTCCGTAGCTAATTGTGTCGAAATTGTTGAAATTCGATTCGGAACGGCTAAAATAAACTTCTTTTTGCAGTGCTCCCATTCTGGTCAGTGTATGTAACGTAGCTGAATCGGAAAACTGACTGCATGTATCTAAATTGTCTAAACCTTGTATCAAACGGGATGGCATTTTTATACTCTAAGTTTCGATATCACTTTCCTTTTTTCCGTTTTTTTTTTCAGTTCAACTCCCTTTCTCTGAAATTGAATAAAAAAGAGAATGTTTTATTGAAAGTGGTATATTACGTTAATGGTACTTCACTAATTATTGAAATATGCTGAACATTTCCATGAACTTTTAGGTTGTCATCACTTTTTTTCACTCACACACTCAATCATCGATCCCCCATTTAAATAGGCAAACTTGTTTAAAGCGAAAACAACGTTGAAAATTCCGATTTACGTGCATATCTATTCACTTTAATTACATCCACTGTGTGAATGATGATGATACGTATTTGCTGCTGGATTTATTTGCTGTGAATTTTCGAAATATGCCACCTTGGATTTGTTTTAGGTTTAAAGCCCCATTGCAAATAAGCGCATGCATCGACAGACTCTGTCGACAATCTGATTGCTCTCACTAATTGATTGGCATGTTGGAAAACAGTATACAATCAACGCGTACCAAGCATACGGGTTGATGAGAAAATGAAGTGCAATTCGAAAGTCACGAAAAAAAATATATATGAACGTGTAAAGCGTGCGATCCAAGAGAGGCGAGTGAACGAGAAAAATATAAATAATAGGATATATGTCGAAATGGGGAGAGTGAACAACATGTTGCGGTTTTTTAAACATGTCTCACGAAAATGTGTATACACCACGAGAGAAGCGTGTTGTTCACTGATTTTCCATGTTAAATATTTTCATAGCTTCGACCATATAGCATAGAGAAAAAGAGAGAGAATAACTAATCTGGTGAACAACTGAACAACTTGCACCTGATAACTTTCCCCATTTAACTCGAGTGCAATGAATAGTCTACTCAATATGCATTGTGCATACACCAACCATACAGACACTACTCGGTGAAGAAGTATCCTTCTTTTTTTGCATATAAACTTTATTATATTATTGAATCATTCATTCTTTTGTTGGTTGACTATGTTTAGCTTTTTATCGCTTTATTCACGTAAAAGATACAATACAATGAGTGAAGAAGCTATCGAGAAAACAAAAAAAGATTCTGTGGTTTTTTGTGTGTTCTCATAAAACCCCAAATGAATTCTATCTGTTTGTTACTTTTATAGATGCTTTTTTTCACCAGGACTATTGATTTCCATGTAATAATGTAAGCTGAGAACAAAAAAAAAAACGCAGCGAGAATCAAGATTTTTCATCTTACAGAATTCCCGCAATCCGGCTGTTGTCAAAGTATTTCACAGCAACGTGTCTCTTTTTTTCGGTTTGATGTGTACAAAATGCAAGTCAGGCATACGTTCAGGTGAAGCTTAATGTCGAATTGGATCACTTCCTGCTGGTTCGGTTGAAAACATGCCTCGAGCCGCAAAACATTTTTCTTTTGTAAAATTTTATTTCTATATGCTTCGCATGTAATTGGAAATTCGCCGGGATGTAGGGATGTTTGTGATTTTCACATTCAAAACTTAAAAATAAGGAAATTGCTTTTTCGATTCGCAATGTTTGTGATTGTTATTTTCTGATTTTTGAAAAGAATGTTTCAAGATGGAAATGGAGTTTTTGAATGATAAGAAGATTCAAGTCTTGCAAATTGTATTCAATTTGCACGTAATCTGAATGGATGAATCATAATCGAGAGCGCGTTATCTTTGTATTGCAGCGAAAATATTTCGAATGATTCGGCTTTTTCTTCTCACTCCCGTTCCCCGTTCCTCATAAATGATCATTGATATAACGACTCTGACCTGGCACTTTTTTATTTTAACGCATTTGTTATGGGTTACAATTCGAATGAATGGCCTGATTACTTGGGGTATATAGACAAATTTTTTGGGTGTCTGTTTCGCAAGAATAATAATAATGGCAAGAAATTTTTAGCATCGTTAAAATGATTTGTCATGCTGTTTGTAAAAGACTGCGGGAATTCAATTTCTCGAACTTGAAAGTAGGAAGAGAACGACATACCACCACACACGCCCAACACGAAAAAACACGAGCGAATAAATTGAGTCGAAGGATAAGCAACTTTTGCCGTTTCCACGTTATTCAAAATGATAATTGTTGTGAAGATATGTGTGTGTGCTCCATTTCAACAGTTGAGATTTTCTTTTCTCAACAAAAACATTCTGCTGCTCCTCGTCTACTTCTTTAAAGAAAATGGCATTTATGAAGTGGAATAAGTTTTGCGAGTTCCAAACGCCAAAACGAGGATATTGCAAATGATAAATTTTAACTGCCATAAAACGATTCCATATTACACAGAGGGCACAAACAGTTTTAATTCTGTCTCTTTGCAAAACTCAGTTTCCGTTGAATTCTACCGATTTCCCGTTACTTTTTTTTCCATCCCTTCTCTCTGCTGCCAGATGTTTTTTCGCCATGCTACTCTATGGATATGTGTGATTGTGTGTGAGCACGTTAAGTTTTGCTTGTTGCTCAATTTCATACAATGTGATCCTTTTCGGAATATTTATTCTCTTCGGAATACACATTTGACTGTCGCATAGACTCAAGAATTTTCATTGTAATTATATTATTTGAAGTGTGTGTGAGAGAGAGAGAGAGAGAGAGAGAGAGAGAGAGAGAGTATGCCATCGCTGCATGGCCTCAAACTTGCGAAATGCATATTAGAAATTCCTTTCGTATAATAAATAAAGCTTCTTGATTATACCATTCGAGCATATTCTCTTTCTCATTCTCGGTATTTTGTGTATATTTTTTTGTGTCATTTGAATTGAAAATGTCGCAAATAAAATCGTATACAAAATTATATGTTCAAGATTGAAAGCGTATTTCAAAGTACCAAACACACAACCTGTGTGCGCTCTTTTTTTCGGTTTAAAATTTAATTTTGTTTGTTATTCGGAATAAACCGAATGAGCAGAGCTGCTGACATAAGACAATTGAATATACACAGATATAACACATTCGAAACGGATGAGGGTAATCTGTGACACGAATTTATGTCGACATTACGGCTGTGAACAGGTTTACAGTAGTGATGATGTTGTCGTCGACGTTGTCGGGTGCACCAAACGACTCAAACCAATTTAAGATTACAAGCAAATACATGTTCAAAACTTGAACGTGAACTATACATACACCGTATCAGCGACAGAGGGGTTGCTTCATTTTATCAACAGTTCACATCGTAATAGACTTAAAATCAAATCGAAGAGTGTGAGCGAGTGAAAAAGAGTAGATATAAACTAACATCACAACTTTGCTCAAACAAATTTACGAATATTTTTCCGAGAGTCGGTTAAAACTGAATTTTTCATGCCACTCCGAGTGTCTCGCATTTTTTTCTCGTTCTTCTGTTTGACTGGGCTCAAAAATGCAATGCAACCACATTATGCGGGATTTTTTGGCTACCCCCCACCACTTCGTCGGAACAAAATTCATAAAATCGATTTTGAAGTCTTATTGCACTTTGGACCCGTCACGACGAATAAGCAATAAGACTCAGATGCAGTCTGACTGAACAAAGTCGAGTTGAGTGATTGCTTGAATGCCATCGCATCAAATCTATGGTATGTTGTACAGGCATATCTATTAACTTAAATGAATTGGAGGGGATTCGAGGCTTGCTTCATTCTGAAAATTTACGGTTGCCAAAGCCGTTGTTCTGATTGAACATTTCATTAGTCTCATTTAGACATTGAATTTATTTTGTCGGCCCAAAAAGCTTTGCAATCTATGCACTAGTCATATATTTCGCACCATTCAATGGATAGAACATTCCAGTATTGTCTATTCAATCAATCAAGCACGTTTAAAACAATATCGTTGTACGGAATATTTGAAGAGTTCTTAAATGTTGCATAAAAGATGCATAAAAGTTACGTCGATTATATGCAAAGTAACGTTGTACAATTTCAAGTAAACACTTGAAAATTTCATTCGATATTCAGTTGTGTACGTTACTTGAATTTTATCATTTGACGATGCCTGAAATTAAAGCAAACCAACAATCCAGTTTGATTCCATTGTGAAAATATGCTTTTGGAGCAACAGATAACATTTAGTGGATAGAACCAATACATTCATTGAACGTTTTCAATGTTCTAACCATATTTTGTGTGCTACGTTGTACGTGAACATTTACATTTCAACATTCTCATATGTATCAATATTGTACTGCTACTGTTATCTTTTGCTATTCTTTTCAACAAAGACCGACGAAAATTCTCAACAAAGACTAACGAAAATCATGTAATTTTGGTTGCGTTTTTTATGTGTGGATGCTTGCAAATTGAATAAGTAATAAACTGTCTTCTACAGCCGCACCAACAGCCGTTTGCCATATATTTTTTCCCTCTTGGCATCGCATAGCATATATGTGACGTGCGCTTTATTCTCGGCATGTACATCTCACGCTATAAATCTGTACATATTTTGTTTCTATTCATTTTGAGCCTTTTATTGTTATGGGTTTGACAGTCTTAAAAACCGAGTGCATGACATAACTTGCTTAAGCGAATAAGAAGAAGAAACAGACTACGACGACGCAAAGTGGTAATCGTAGGACGATGTCGACAGCGGATGTAAACGCGCGCGCGACGAAGACGACGACAACAAGAGACGTAAGTCAGCCAAAAACACATTAAGACAAGTTATTTCTTTTAATGAACATGGTTTTTTATTTTAGGGAAGAAAAAGAGACAGCAACAGCAGCAGCAGCGTCAAGAATAGCGACAAAAAACTTATGGTTTTCTTACGACAAAACCTGAGAGCAAGAGTACATAATGGCATTGATGATGAAGGAGCAAGTGAAAAGAGCAACCCATTTATCATCTGCTTATGTATCGTTGAATGTGATGTCAGAAAAGGTTGTTATAATCGTGGTCGTGGTTTAAACATAGAAATATGCTTGCTTCATTTCGCATTCAGAACAAGTTTCAAACAACCGATTCCATTGTTCTAAACATTAAGCCGTCTGTGAGAAAGACGACGATGAAAAATATTTCGAATGCAAAAGTCAGCAACAGCAGCAGCATATTCGATGTCGAATTGATGAGGGCAAGAGCCGTAAACGGGGAATGAGGAGAGCC